TAGTGTTATAAAGATTTATAAATATAATACGCAGGTCGTGAGAAGAAATATCGTAGGCGCCGAAAACATTAGCCTATCCAATGCTGCTAGGCTAGGCCTAGCCTTACCTCGATTTAGGTTCTGTTATCACACATAAAAACGGCCGACATGATATTTTCCTTTACTAGTATTGACACTTGTGAATATAATATTTCACAGGAATTATTTCAAATTTGTTAAAAAACTGATTCTGACTGAGATTTTGACACTTAAACAAACAAATCTCAGCCTAACCGAACGACCGCATTGTGCGAGATGCGAAGTACAAAAAGTAATCTCATTAGAAAGGGCGCACTTTATTGACTGTATAAAGTATAAATAAAAGCGAGAGTATTCCAGTGGATGCGAACTACAACCTCTGAATTTGCCTAGTAACGATGAATTCGTCGAGAAAATGGTAATATTTTATGAGAAATAGTCTGTATTTCTCATTTTTTTATTCTTTTGCTTAAAACTAAAATTCATGCCAATATTTTTCCATGATTTATAATAATTGGAGTAATGCAAATGCATATTTTCTAAAAAAAGTCAATTTTTAGTGAAATTTTGCCGGGATTGAGTAATTAACTTTAGTAACTTTTTAAATTGTTCAGTGAAATTGTAAACATCTTCAACAGGAGTCTGAATCCACTTCATTTCGGCCATTTAGGAGCAAATTTTAAGAACAGGCTCTGTAATACTTGATAATAATTTCAACGTATTTCAATGTTGCTTATTGCAGAATATCATGGTTCAGTGAGTCGACAAAGCAGATTGATTCCTTCATTTCCAGTTCATACTTTCCCAATGGAATAGTGTTGGGGCCAAATAGTGAATACTTCCTCTTCAGTGAAACCACACGTTTCCGAATTCTTAAGTAAGTTTTTACATTTCTTTTAAAACTGTAATATAGTATTTCGTCTTGGTGGAAATATCATTTGCATTCTAGCTGTCGAAATAGCATTTTGCAGTACCTGCTGCTACTTACTTGGGGATTCAACACTGTCACTAAAGCGCAAGCTTGGTAGTCTAGTTGTTATGGCACCAGGCTAGTTATCTAGAGGTCATGGGTTTGATTCCCACCCAAATCACTTGTTTGCAAGTATTTGGGAACGTACTAAGTATTCAGTACGATAACACGTCATGTACGGCAAAACATGACTCCTATGATATAATATAGTATGCATAGGCGGATTCAATGGGTCACCATTTAAAAAAAAAAATAAGAAAAAAGAAAATTCGACTAAAATTTTGAGTCTAGGAGTGCCATAATCATAAATTTTCTTACCTCAGCCCCAACCATGGTGGGGCTGAGGTAGTATAGACCCTCCATCTGTGAAAGTCCCACTCCGGGCCCCCTCTATTTCACTGCACCTTTATGTTGGAACTGAGGCTGAAGTTTTTTTTGTACCCTTGGGCAACTAAGGTACTTCATTACATTGCCCCTTTCAATCAATTAATCAAGCAATCAAATAAAAAGCAATATAATATGAAGACAGCTGAATCAAGAGAAGTGAAGGTGTTTCGTTTATTGATATTTCAATTTAAGAGGAAGTCCCACTCAGCAAGGCTGATTTTTGGGGGAGACCTCATCAAAACAAACAAGTTCAAAAGAGACACAAAGCAGAGCAAACAGCAATTCAAAAAAAAAAAAAAATGCCAATGAATTTTTATAGTTCTTTAAATATAGTATAAAAATATATCATTATTAAATTTTAATTGTTTTCCTTTAAAAGCGATGCAAAAGTATATTATTACTGTATGAATAACCAAGCATATCAAACAATGTTATGTGTACCGGCCACATTGAGAAGATGAAACTTTAAGTATCCTTATAAAGGAGGAAGTTGACAAACTCGCATTGCATTTAATAGTTAAAGGAAGGGAGTTCCAATATTTAGCTCCACAACACCCAATAAAATTTCTTCCATGGTTCTAAGTAACTTTGTAGGGGTAGACATTGTATAATCCCTTTCTGTCCCTAGAGGTGATAGAGGTTCTTTTACAAATAAGATCGATAACCGGAGGAGGAGGAGCCAATGAATAAAAGCATTTGAAAATAAAAAGAATAGAATCTAATCCAGTTAAGTTCTTGCAGCGATTCTCAAATTGAAGTTCTGGGACTTAAGTGTTTGATAGACCTGATCCCTCTATTAAAGATAATATATAAAGGATGAAGAATGATATTAAAAATCTGAGACCAAGCGACACTACAATATTCTAAATATGGACGAACAAGACTGTTAAACAAAGTGATTTTTGCATCAAGGTACTGATGTACTGTTGGCAACTGATAGAAAGGGGTTGAATCATCTGATCATAGAGGGTGTAAATTCTATGTCTACAGCTAGACAAGTAAGCAAGCAGAAGATGATGATGACAAATTTAAATATACATAATGCTATAATCCATAAAACAAAAAATTTAATTTCCACTCAATAATGGTATCTGGTATGTTTGAAAAATATCATGATTTACCATTTGCGGACATATTGATGCATCAAACCCATATATGGGCATAAGACAGGTATTTGCCACATAATACTTGACAGTGTGCACATAGATTTAGGCTATGTTCAAACACAAGAACTTGCGCTAGTGTATGTTAATTGAGTGGAGTGAACTTGTGCGCGGCGTAGCGAATATTGACTTTCATCATTATAAAGCCTCCCTTTATAGCTCTTTAGGCAATCCTTCAGCCATGCAAATTCCAAATATTATATCATTGTACATTAAAAAAAATATTTCCTGTTAAATTTTCAGGTCATGGATCCCAGGACTCTTTTACAGTACCTACCAAAATATGGACTTATAATAGAAGTGGATCAGAACGGTGAAATCATTCAAAGCCTTCACGATCCTACAGGAGAGGTTATATCCAGCGTGAGTGAAGTGCTAGACACAGGAAAGGAGCTGTATCTTGGGAGCTTTGGGGGTCCATTTATTGGAAGACTAAATCTAACAAGATCTAAAAACTAATGTCATCAACAAGCACATTTGATACTTTTTATGTTTTTTTTTACCCTTAGATCTAGGTCATTTTATTATTATTATAATTATTAGCATTATTATTCTATTAAAGATTTTAATAAGAAATGTAGTTGCTCCTTAAGCTATAATTTTATTTTGTATATTTTGAAGTAGCAATTTAGATTTCCAAGTGTTGTATATTTCATGGTTAAAATCATCAAACAGAAACAGAAGAATATGTTTGTAATTGTTTCAATTCAGTGGTTTCTTTGTATGATTCTATTATTTTATTAAAAGGTGAACCTCAAAACATGTACAAGTGATGTATTTCCTTGTTTTAGCGCCTTAGTGGGCCCTCTTTTGTTGAGTCTTCTATTTGAGCATCCCCATGTGTGACCTATTACAAAGGCCCTGTCTCTTATACACATCTAGATGTGTATAAGAGACAGGGCCCACTGAGCTTCAATTCGAGGTTTTACGGTATTATTACTTAATTCGCCATGCAAACCTTCAAACAATAATAATAATTGTATCTTAATATTTCAACAGGTATTACCTAAAAGGCAAGAAGGCTGGTTACACTGAGTCATTTATCGCAAACCTTCCCGGAATGCCAGACAATTTAAGTCCAAGCAGTAGTGGAGGATTTTGGATAGGTTTAGCATTTCCAGGTGGCAGACTTGGCTCAATGCCTGTGTTTGACTTTCTTTTCAAACATCCATGGATTAGAAATATTATTGCTAAGGTATGAATTCATTAATATCTAGCAACTAGCAAATTACACAAAATGGAAGATGCTGTAAACTGTCTTTATGAGTCTTGGGTAGTGGTGTTATTGCTATTCATGAAGAGAACCGTGTGCCTCACATGGTTTGAACCTAGGACTTATTTCCTTTTTACTTATCTAATTATAGATCTACTACCAGTTGAGCTTCTTCAGGCCCTTACAGGTGCTTGTGCTGTTTGTTTTATGAAGCGTTACTAGGTCTTATGCAGTGCCTTCTGTCAGTTCCCTTATCAGTGTGGTTACCGTATCCATTTATTGGTTTCACTTCATGAATTTAACAATCTATCATGGAAACCTAATGAAATTATTCGAAGACTTTCCTAATCAGTTCAACTGCTTATTATCATTTGTGTTGGTTTATATTTTATAGTATTGACTTTCATCATTATAAAGCCTCCCTTTATAGCTCTTTAGGCAATCCTTCAGCCATGCAAATTCCAAATATTATATCATTGTACATTAAAAAAAATATTTCCTGTTAAATTTTCAGGTCATGGATCCCAGGACTCTTTTACAGTACCTACCAAAATATGGACTTATAATAGAAGTGGATCAGAACGGTGAAATCATTCAAAGCCTTCACGATCCTACAGGAGAGGTTATATCCAGCGTGAGTGAAGTGCTAGACACAGGAAAGGAGCTGTATCTTGGGAGCTTTGGGGGTCCATTTATTGGAAGACTAAATCTAACAAGATCTAAAAACTAATGTCATCAACAAGCACATTTGATACTTTTTATGTTTTTTTTTACCCTTAGATCTAGGTCATTTTATTATTATTATAATTATTAGCATTATTATTCTATTAAAGATTTTAATAAGAAATGTAGTTGCTCCTTAAGCTATAATTTTATTTTGTATATTTTGAAGTAGCAATTTAGATTTCCAAGTGTTGTATATTTCATGGTTAAAATCATCAAACAGAAACAGAAGAATATGTTTGTAATTGTTTCAATTCAGTGGTTTCTTTGTATGATTCTATTATTTTATTAAAAGGTGAACCTCAAAACATGTACAAGTGATGTATTTCCTTGTTTTAGCGCCTTAGTGGGCCCTCTTTTGTTGAGTCTTCTATTTGAGCATCCCCATGTGTGACCTATTACAAAGGCCTGGTCAGGATTGGTCTGAACCATTTAATGTTGCTGAACTTGACTGTTTGGCCATAATCTGGGATCAACTCAGCTAATTCAGTGCTAGAATCATTTATATCCTACCAGGAACCAATTTATACTCCTGGAAGAAGAGAAGTAAAGTGCCTTGCTCAATGACATGGAGTGACCAGCATTGTGCTTGATCCAACTACCACTTAGTTGAAGGCTTACCACTGTGTTCATCAATAATTAATTCAAATATACAGGTGTATAGTACTGTCCACAATACATTGAAATTCACTTGAAAGAAGGCTGCAACATTAATCTAATATATGTGCATACTTTTTAATTATACTTTTTACAAACACATGGTTACAGCTCTGTATAAAATATACTTTGACACTATAATTGGGAGGCATGGGGTGAACAGACCTTTGTTTACAGTACTGTATACTTAAATAAATGCTGTAGTGTACATTGTAAACGTAATTAATAACAACAAATGATGCTTTCCACACAAGCAAAAATCTGATATGTCGCCTTTTAAATGTAACTTGCAGTGGAAATTATGTCTTGAGGATTTGAAAGCAACATGAGATTTCACATAATTACTAGTACCTTAATTTCCTTCACATCCATCTGCATGTAAATTCACTCCCTAAATGCTGGATGGAACTATGAGATGCCCACAAAATAAATCTTATATAGCTTATCTTTGAGACGTGGGTAACACTTACTAAACACGCAACAAACTATCCCTAATAATGGAATGGTACAATTGTCAGCTGGGTTTATTAATATTGAAATTGCCATAGAAATAAACCAACTATGAATGTCAAATATGTCACTGTACACTTTGATTCAATCTTTTAGTGGCGGTTTCATCGCTGTTGGTTGTTGAATTAAAAACAAAATTAATACTGCTCAATAAATTCAGTATATTTTACTTTTAAACTGAAGTAGTGTAGTATCATAAATGGCATTACTGTATTATCATCATATTCAGCTACCAATCCACTCCCTAAAGCAATAACTGAATTTTAGTATAAAGCAACCCCTCTAAGAAATACAAATATTTTTCTGAAGTTTAATACAAGTACAGGTCTCCCTCTCCAATTAAAGACCACTTTTGGGACCATTGTTTTTATGGTTTTTAGAAACCTTGGTCTCTAATTAGAATAATAAATATAAGAAATTTGTTAGTCTGGGACAACAGAAAAGTGGTCTTTAATTAGAGGGGTCTTTACTTGGAGTGGTCTTTTATTGGAGGGAGACCTGTATTTCAGAATAATAAATAGGCAAGCTTAAGGCTAGAATATTATAGGCTTACTGTGAAGTGAATTTAATATCAACATAATGACAATAAATCTAGAAAAATCCAATCCTAAATAAATTAATCTCAAAACAAAGATAGAACATTAGCTTGAAACTAAATGAACCAACTGGAAATAAAGAATTCCATCATTGTAAATAAATATATTAAAATATTTTAAAACAAAAATCCAAATTTAATGAGGTTCAACTGCAAACAAAACAATGTTAGTCAACTAGCCAGCCAACCAGCATGAAAGTCTCTTATCGAAGCTCAATAAATTTACATTGTCATAAATGTGATGACTTGAACTAGTTTCTGTAATTTTGGAGGCCTTTTTGGTTATTTGTAGAGGATGGTGGTTATGATGGCCTGCATCTGCTGAATGCATTTATGGGGATCTGTATAATCTTGATAAATTAATCAATAAATGTGAACAGACATTTTTATTTTGTATTAAAGTTGTATTCCTATATTTAAGCACCTTTAAGTAATTTAAAGGCATTTTCTTTTCCTCAATTTGTTTTCTAACATTCCCCCTCTCTGTGCAAAACTCTCAAGGCACATTACCACATCATTTTACACAACCTATTTTACTTTTATTTTATGGCTAAATTTGTTTCAAATTTACTAGAACCAATATGCTTCGAGGCTCTCACTAAAGGGTTTACCCGTAAACCTATTCACAGTAACAAACGCGCAAGGCCAAAAAAAAAAAAATTATTGTGTTTTACGAAATTATGGTTCGGCATTTTATTTTATTTTTTTTTGGACAACGAACAATATTTCTTTTTTTTTTGGCCTAATGGAATTTCTCAAACGTTTTTACTGGATAATGCTCTTTGTATTGCTCTACGTGGTTCTTCATCTCTGTAAGCTGTTCTTGAAGTCGTTTTGGCGGCTCATCATACACATCTAAAAACATCTGTGTTGGTGATGGCTTCTTTAACTTCTCAGCAGCCTGAAAGCCCTCCATTACCTGTATAATGTATAAATTAATTAAGATATCAGATTTATTGTTCTGGGTATTAAAAAAAAATCAATTCACCTCCCATATATTCAAGTATATTCAAATCTGTGGTAGATTAAGTAAACATACATGCAACCACCTGACATGAAGGTAACAAGAGCAGAGTGGGCCTGCCAAGAGTCACCCACTATAAATACAGTTCAAATCAAATAAATAAAATCTGTCCAATAAATGAAACACTGGCCTAGTATTCAATGGTTTTGATTTTTATTTCTTATACTGTTTTTAATATTTGGGTCACAAAAATATCCAGATGAAATTGTGAAAACAAAACAATAAAGGTCATGATGTTACACTTATAGTAAATGACCAAGTTCACCAAGAAATATGGTGGAAAAACCTACAGTACATAAATTTTTTTATCTCACCTGTCTTCTGGCTTCCTTCATCCAGCTTTTTTCCTTATCCATATCCCACCATCCTTTGTTGATCATGAAGGAGCGGAGTCTACCAATAGGATGATCCTCTTTATCCCAGTAATTAACCTCATCCACTGACCTGTAAGCTGATGAATCATCACTTGTGCTATGATGACCTAACCTGCAAGTATATTTAGCGTATCATTTCAAACTAGCTAAATAGTTTCATACGAAACCTAACTGAGAGTCGGTGTACATTTAGCATATCGTTTTTTTTTAGCAAAATGGTTTCATATGAAGCCTATCTGACAAAACTGACGTCCACAAAATAACAGTGAGTATTGGTTTACTTTTAAGAAATTTCTCCATAAAACATATTTTGTTAAAAATGTAGCCAGTCAAAGAGCTATTTAGGGACGGCACTAGCAGAAAAGGACCCTGTTGTACAGAAGAGATGTGTATAAGAGACAGCTAAAGGGTTTACCCGTAAACCTATTCACAGTAACAAACGCGCAAGGCCAAAAAAAAAAAAATTATTGTGTTTTACGAAATTATGGTTCGGCATTTTATTTTATTTTTTTTTGGACAACGAACAATATTTCTTTTTTTTTGGCCTAATGGAATTTCTCAAACGTTTTTACTGGATAATGCTCTTTGTATTGCTCTACGTGGTTCTTCATCTCTGTAAGCTGTTCTTGAAGTCGTTTTGGCGGCTCATCATACACATCTAAAAACATCTGTGTTGGTGATGGCTTCTTTAACT